AAGGGAAGTAACTTTTCAATCTCTTTTTGTTGCTGTGTTTCACACCCACTAGCATAGCTGTAATTTTTGTTTTAAATGGGAAATAACAAGTATTGATGAGAACATGGAGAAATTGGAATCTTGATACATTATGAGTAGGATTGTAAAATGATGCAGTCTCTATGGAAAACAGTTTCTCAGTTCCTCAAAAAGTTCAAAATTAACAGCAACAAAATTTTAAAACAAGCATAAGAAAATTTCCACTTAATTATTTATGAAAGAGCAACATGATTTCAAGTTACACAATTTGCCACATATGTAGTAGTAATTAAATTGTGGGAACTTCCAGTTTGAAATATTTGATTTGTACTCCTATGACAATACTAGATAGCAAGGCCAGCTGTCTATTAAGGAACCACTCTTGGATAATACTAATAGAACCATATCATTTATGTGTAAAATAATAATTGATTTGTTGCTGTTATTTAAGTGGGAGTGGAAAGTGGTGGGTATAGTTCAATTTTTAAGGTTTGAATTATGAATAAAGAGGCCAGAGGCACGAGAGAATGTTTCTATTTTAGTCCACTGGAAAATCATTAACTGATTTACTAGAAAACTTTTTTATTAGCGCAGGTTATGGCAACGTTCAACTCTAAGTTCTATATAACCTTATGTATGACCACAAGTTCATATATAACTCATGCATCTTACCTATCACCAGTTCTTTTCCACACAATGAACAGTCAAAGACAGACAGATGTCTCCACAAGCGGAGAGAGTATACCAAAGGTAAGACTTGGGCATTTTCATGGCTTAAACATATCTACTCTTCCTATAAAAATCCTGGCCCAAGAAAACTTGACTTATAGTACATCAAACAAAACACTGTTGTGCATTTGACTGATATTTTCAGTAGTTTAGTGGTGTGGGGTGTAAAAAGATCGCTACTGAAAACAGAATTATTTGTACTCTGGGTTCAATGAGAAGGAAACATCCCTGTGGATGAGGCAGAGGCAAACGAATTAGAAATTTTGGAGTCCACTATTCAGAGTTATTGTTGAATATCTTCGCAGACATATAGACGGAGAGACTGGATTTATTACACCAGGGAAATTGACATGGCTGTTAGATTTGTGGGATTAGAACCTCTTAAGTATAAATTGAGATCTGGGCCTGCAGAACTCCTGATAGTACCAACAGGCAGATCTAACAGTCTTCCCACAAGAATGTATTTTATTAATTTTTATATAGTTTTCACCAATGAAAAATTTCTAATAAATTTTCAATTTGCATTGAGTCCAAAATAATAAAAATGTGCCAACCACCCAAAGATTTAAACAAAGATAAATAAAAATAGAGGAAATAACAAGTGCCATGACTCTGAGATGAGAACAAAATGAGATTTAAACTAAGGAACAACATAATCAGACGCACACTTTAGAAAAAGCAATCTGTTTTCTGTGTGGAAAATGTACTGAGAGAGACAAAAGTGGAAATAAGATGGTCCTTTAAAGGCTATTAGAGAAATTTAAGTAAGAGATATTGGTTTCTGGACAATGGAGACAGGGAAGAAAATGGATTGGGGAGATATTTGAGAGGGAACAGCAATAGAATTTGTTTAAAAAAGCTCATGTGAGTAGTGAGGTGACATTTGCTGAGCTTAGGAGCACTGAGACAGCAGGTTTGGGTGGGTGGTGGATGCAGTTTGAGACACGATGGCTCTGAATTTAAAGCAGATATTTAGCGAAAGACGTTCCAAAGAGGCAGCCATTTGGTGCCCAACAGGAACATCCTCATGCAGTCCTTCACAGGAAATAGCGCCCATGATTTGTTCCATTTCTGCCCCAATAGAGACAGTTCCAACTAACTGTCTTGCTTTCCAGTTTTTCTGTTCATCTACATATACACTGGTCCTCTAAGGGAAACAGAAAGGCACAAAAATCCATTGTAGAGCTACAAATGCAGATCCTGGGGCCCCACTCTGCAAGGCAGTAGAATATCTTGAAGGGGGCCGTGTAATCATTTTAACAGGTGCACTGTGAGACCACCATGTGTTAAGCATTTTCACAAGCACTGTCCCACTTGTCATTTCTTATGCATAGTCTTGAGAGGTCTGGACTATCTTATCACCTTTCTATAAATATTAAGTACCTTGTGCAGAGTCCTTTATCTCGTAAGCAAGGACATGAGCTTGAAACTTAGCTGACTTGATAGGAATAAGCACAGAGCCACACGCACACACACACACAGCCATACATCCACAGACACATTAGCTTTCATGAAAATGCAAAAAATAAAAATGCATCCAGAGGCATCGTTAACTCGCAGGCATGAGCAGGGTTAATATGAACTTCTTTATACTCTTCCCTTGAGAGTGAGAAGAGAAGGCGTCAGGGTCCCTCAGGCCCTATCTCCCTCTTCCTCACTTTGAGCAATGACCACAAAAAATTAATGAGCACGGAATTGACCTGTCCATCAGTCCCATCCTTTCCCCTCCACTTATTTCTTTCTTTGGCGAGTCTGTCCCCTTGCAGATTTCTGTGTGTCTGTCAGCACAATCTCTCTTCTTTCCCTTTGGCCCAATCTCGAAGATTAGGTGAGTGCTGGCTGTTTGAAGGGATGTGGTTGGGACCGGGATTGGCAGAGAAAGAGGGAGTGAATAAAAAGCTCAGGACTCCATTTTCTAGGAGCCATGGACTGAGCACTATAACTTTCTTTCCTGATCACTCCCACTTATAAGCCGAGGTCACAGTCTCCGGTACTTGATATACGCTCCATCAAATGGGCGCCAAAAAATTAGAACAGGTGGGCAATGATACAACTGGGTTAAGGATGGCTATGGTAAGTGTTGTTCAGGTAATTTCTGTGTTAGATATGTGACAATTTGTGTTAGACATAACCCTAACCTAAAGAGTGAGTTTGAGTGTGTGGTTATGTGTGTATGCCTAGGGTGCATTTGTTAGCTTTTATGCATCTATTTCTGTTCTCTTCTTCACTGTGTGATTTGACTGCTAGTGATCATACTGATGATATAAAATATAACCTAATAAAAAGTAGTAAAACTTATTATGTGCTTATTATGTTGCAAGGCACTGCATTAAAGAGTGGTTTTAGGGTCATGTCTTATTCTGTCCTAATAATGACTAAGAATTAGAGATATTAGGCCCTGTTCAAAATAAGGAACCTAAGAATCAGATAGTTCAGGTAAGCCTGCCCAACTTCACACAGCTAACCAATTATGGAACTAGGATTAAGTTGCCTAGCTTTCTGGCTCCACAGCATAAACTCAGTGCCCATATTTTAGTAAGGTACTGTGAACATCTGTGTGTATGTTTGTACCTATCATAATCACATTTAATAAAATTAATGCTAATTACTGTCTATCATCTAATATGTAATTCACATTTAAATTTTCCCAAATATAGATTATCTTCTATTCCTAGTTTGTTTAAGCAGAATCAGATCAAAAATTATATTTGATTATTCATTATTTTAAATTTATTTTTATCAAGCAAAGTATTTTCCTCATTTATGCGCCCTTCCCTTTCTTAGTGGCGCTGACTTGTTGAAAAGACAAAGCTGTTTTGCAGATCATCCCATATTGTAGATTTGTCTGACTGTAGAATGACAGGCCTCAGAGTTAACGTTCTCTCTGTGTGCCCATGTGCGTGTTTATAAATACTTTGGGATGACTCTATGAACATCTGTTGTGTTCACTACATGAAAATATACAACTAGGGGAGATTTTTCTCACATATGTATAAAGGATGACTTCAGACAAGCTGAAAGAGCTGTTTTTCAAAGTATATGGTTTCAGGGTCCTGATGTCATATGTTGCTTGAGTTTGTGAGCAGCACAGAAGAGAGATTTTCAACATGAAAGCTGAACAACCTAGCCAGATCTCCAGTGTTGGCAATAGGTGAGTTCTAGGCCCCCAGTGGGTAAGAGAACCAAGATGAAAATGAGTAAGCTGGAGAACATGCATACACAGCAGATGGGGGACTGAACTGTGGTCCGTTGTCTGAGCTCTGGACTGTGTTCCCAGAAACTAGAAAATATGAATTATGGAGAAACTAATGAGGATGGTTTGAGTTTCTACAAGGAAGTGTTTTTATTTATAGGAATGGGAAGTTCAGAAAGGAAAGAAGAGAGCATCCTGTTTCTCTTTTGCCATAAACAGGAGAGTGGAGGAATTAAGCATTGGTCTGGGAGATGAAAGGTATTGTGAATTGGACCTGAGAATGAGATAAAAAGTGGGGTAGGGATAAGTTTGAACATGAGTTTAGACCTTGTCTATTCAGGAGTCTGAGGTGGATGGCCATCACCAGCTTCCCTTCACTGTTCTCCCCATCACAAGCTGACCCTGGGAGCCCTTCTCCTTGCTGTGTGGTTGGTTATCTGTAGATTATTAATCGCTTTCTATGCAAACACATCACTGGAGACGGAAGAAGGTATGTGAACCTAGTCTTTAAAAAGCAACTCCTCAAGTAAAGATTTTGGGAATTTACAAAACAAATGGCTGTGCCAAAATCTAATCATGAAATATTTTGTCGTTGTGTTTGTGTGGTATGTGCATATGTGTGTTTATGTGTGCATACATGTGTGCAGGTGTGTGTGAGAGAGAGACAGTGGAAGGGAGAGTTTATGTTTGTGCAAGATTATGTGTGGGTAAATATGTGATGGTAAAATATATGAGAAAATCTAAGTATAGATCAGAGTATGTTTGAGATTGTAAATCTTAAGTGTGTCTATCTAAGAGAGTATGTGTCCTGGAGTCTATGTGTCTAATAGAATATGTGTTCACAAGGAAAGAATACTTTTTTTGGATAGAAAATTTGACTAATAGTGTTATTAAGTCCAAAGTATTAAGATATTATACAGCTGTACAGTGCACAGTGTGCTGGAAAATGACTAATTTTTGGAGGAGCAACAGCTCCTGAGCCTCAGCTATAAGAAACTTTTCTAGTTTAAATTTAAGTTACATGTGTTATCCAGCATAGTGAAGGAACTCAGCTTGTGTTTGTTGAACCGAATTAGATGTCTGGAATGCAATAAAGGGGTGTTGACCTCACAAATCGAAGAGCCACAGTCATCAGGTAGTCTTGAAAAGAGTGGGTAATTACTGTGGGACAGAGATGACATTCCACAATGACACAGAAAGTATATATTAACCAATAATGTCCATAATGCCATATAAACTATAATCCACCAACCTATTGAAAAATATGCCTCGCAATTTAACTTGTATCAGGGGCAAACAGTATAATGAAAAGAATGATTTTAGCCAGTGAGAAAGGCTTCGTGGAAAAGTTGTGTAAATCAGCAGAGGCAGCCAGAAGGAAGAAGATATTCTCTTTAGGTAGAATGAGTATAAATCCCATTATATCTGAGGCAATCCTGGTTTATGCATGTTACCTGCTATCATTACAATACCAACCTTTTTTCACTTCAAAGGTGTCATAGTTTGGAAGATAAATTAGATAGTCACCTTATCTTTAGGATTCAGTAATGAGGAGTAGTTTTAAGTGAGTAACTCAAGTGACCCTAAATATCCTTTATCACCCTCTGTCCTCAGGATCCGGAACTTGTGCCATTCTAGTCTGCCATGATCATTTTCAACGTGAGCAATTACAACCCAGCAACCTTCATTCTGGTGGGGATGCCAGGCCTGGAGCAAGCCCACGTGTGGATTGGGATTCCCTTCTGTACCATCTATATTGTGGCCATTGTGGGAAACTGTATCCTTCTTCTCATCATGGTGGAGCGTAGCCTTCATGAACCTATGTTCTTCTTTCTGTCAGTGCTGGCCATGACGGACCTCATCTTGTCCACGGCCTGTGTTCCTAAAACACTCAGCATATTTTGGTTTGGGGCTCAAGAAATCATATTCCCAGGGTGCCTTACACAAATGTTCTTCCACCATTATAGTTTTGTCTTGGATTCAGCCATCCTGATGACTATGGCATTTGACCGCTACGTGGCTATTTGTTCTCCCTTGAGATATACCACTATCTTGACCCCCAAGACCATCATCAAGATTGTTACGGGCATCTCCTTTCGAAGCTTCTGCATTGTGCTGCCAGATGTATTCTTGCTCACACGTCTGCCTTTCTGCAGGACACGCATCATACCCCACACATACTGTGAACACATAGGCGTTGCCCGGCTGGCCTGTGCCAATATCTCCATCAACATCTGGTATGGCTTTTGTGTTCCCATCATGATGGTCATCTCAGATGTGATTCTCATTGCTGTTTCTTACACTCTCATCCTCTGTGCTGTCTTTCGCCTTCCCTCCAGAGAGGCCCACCAGAAGGCCCTTGGCACCTGTGGTTCCCATGTATGTGTCATCCTCACATTTTATACACCTGCTTTTTTCTCCATCCTTGCCCATTGCTTTGGACACAATGTCTCCTGCACTTTCCACATCATGTTTGCCAACCTCTATATTGTTATCCCACCTGTACTCAACCCCATTGTCTATGGAGTGAAGACCAAACAGATCAGAGATAAGGTCATAGATTTGTTTTCTACCAAGGGTACGGAATGATGTTCTACTGTGCAATGGAAAAACTAGGATAAGTTTATAGTGTATGCTAATATAGCAAGAATTAAAAAAGCCAATGCTATGTAAAGTAAGAACTGCCTGCAGGTGCTTTTGCATACCAGGAAAATGGCATGGTCTATAGGAAGGAGATGGTTCTTTGTACAAAGATTTCCTTAATGACTTGTTTCCTTATGGAATATGAAATTATAGAGAATATGATCAGGAGGACGGAGGTGAAAACAGAGAGCCAACTTACTCTGAATGGAAAAAGTAATGAAAATTTGGAAATTGAGATTTGCAGCTGTGGAGAGAGAAAAATGTAAGAGAGACTAAAAGTGAAAATATCAATGAGAACTTTCTCATTTAGGGGGATTAGCAGATGGATTTAGGACATTTATGATAACATTCAATTCTAATTATTGTCCATGTTATACTTTTGTAATTCCCTTAAATATCCCATCCCTGCCCCACCCACAGGAAAACCTTTTAGTACAAGTCTACTGTAAGCAATGCGTTCTGTCAGCAGTGCTCTAATGGGAATGAGAGAAGTAGCATATTTATCAGTACCAGAGGTGGTGGCACCAGTGCTGACAGAGGAGGGTAGCCTCTAGGCTCCATGACACATTGAAGAAGTAAGCTTCAGTAATAGTGCCCAGGAGAACATGGCCCTGGAAAATAGATGGAGATCTGAGACAAGGGCTGGGCTTTCCACAATGCATAGATGAGACCTCAAGGCAGTTCATTTGGACACTAAAGTAAAAATTCAACCTCATTGGCCAGAGGATTTGTGGAGTTCTTATCTACAGAGTGTATTTTCTTGATTTCAAGAGAGAAGCAATTACAAGACACATTTCTGCAGTGAGGAGGGAGGTTGAGGAGGGGAAAATTAAACTAAAGTAATACATCCAAGGCAAGATGCATCCAAATTCTATAAGCATTAGAATTAAGAAAATACCATATGTTGTGAGCATAAAAAAAGAAGAAAGATCTGGAGTTCTTCCAATAAATCTTTTGTTGAAAATTATCCATGTATTTTGAAATTATTTATAGAGTACATAGTATATATCAAATATTCTAAGCATTCAGGATATGAAGGCTAATAAGATGGAAGAGGCTCTACCTTGCTTCTATAGAGTTTATATTCTAGAAAGAGTGACAAAGAGGAAGCAAGAAAACCAATAAATCCACTACATTCAAATAGTAATATAACCAATAGAAAAATAAAGCTGAGTAAAGTGATGGACTAAAACTGGACAATGAGGACAACAGCAGAGAGGATAGAAATGCAAAGACCCTGGGGCTGGAAACAGCTTGACATGAATTGAGAACAGAAAAAAGGCCAGGCTGGCTGGAGCAGAGTGAGGTGGGGGTAAGGGATAAGGGTTGAAGAGGAGCAGCGCCAGATCCATGAGGAGTAGAATCATCCAAACCTCATTCGTGGAAGAAGAAACTGAAGCTCACAGAGTGAAAATGACTTTTCCGAGGCACACAGCAAGGAACTTAAGTATGTGGAGCTAGAATAGAATCTGCTGCCCCCCGTTCAGCGATATTCCCATTGAACACAGCCTCGTGCTTGTGTAAACAGACTCCAGAGGAAGGGAAAAAATATTTAGGAATATCAGAGCCTGTTTTTATTGCTTTTGTGAACTCTAGTACTCTTGAATGAAGCCACATCTGACTAAATGAGGATTCTGCTGTCTGTGCCAGCTTACCAGAAATACTCACAAATATGAGACGAGGTTCTCTCTTATTCTTTTCTGGTTATTTACATCTTGCTGAGAACATGGATTGGCCAAGAGCTGAAATTTTGAAAACTTTACTGAAGGAATCATAAAGAGTCTGAGATGAGACAATTTAAAAGTCTATATTACTTCCATCCAGGAACTCAAACTCATGGTATTCACTGGACATGCATGAATGACTCGCATGAAAGCTTGATGACCTAGAAAAAACAACAAAGGAAGGAATTGTCTCCTGCACTGTCTCCTTTTGCCCCTCCCACCCTGTATGTTTGGCCCAGTTATCTGTTATTATTTTTCTACCTTTCCTAGGAGAGTTCATTTATTTCTATGGCTTTATCGCCTCTTTGCCGGTAACTCTATATCTTAGTTTTTGTACTTGGTCTTTCTGATAAATTTCAGTGACTGCTTTCCTACCTCAAAGGGTCAGTACTAGGATTAAAAGAAAAAAGTAGATGAATATGCTTTGCAGATTATAAAATACTGCTCTAATATTAGCTGTTATGTTAGTATTTTCACGAATTACCACTGACATTCTCGCCTTGGATTCATCATGTTTAACCCTGAGCTCATCATTGTCTTCTAAAATCTTCCCACCTCTTTACTCTTTCTGGAAGGAGAAAACAGGTAAGGCCCAGTTTTGCTCTTCCCTCAAGTTTAAATTTACTGTCCTAGCTGCCAATGGCTCTCTCTGTTGAGACTGGATGCAAATATTCTATTCCATTTTCAGATCATGAAGGAAATTAGGAAATTACATATTCATGTTTGGATTAAAAAAGAATAATTATACAAAAATCAGCAGGTATCTTTCTCACACATAAATTGTCTTATCCTATGTCCTGTCCCTCTTGTAAATTTTCCATCTGTTACATGAGATATTAGATATTAAGACTCTATCAATTGGGGTATTGACTCCTTTTATCTTCCCATTCTCAGAACTTAGAACTATATTCTACACATACATCAATGAATGTGTCCCTAATACTTTATTTTCTAGACTTTCCACATCTAACCATTCCGTAAGTCTTTGTGATTCCATTTCTGTTGTTTCTTGGATTTTAGCCCTACTAATTCACCAGTCCATTTGCCCCTGTCTTAGTCAGATACTTGCATTTTGTACCTAGACCAGATATTGCATATTTTTTTTGTTTTTTTATTTTTTTGCTGAGGAAGCTTTGCCCTGAGCTAACGTCTGTTGCCAATCTTCCTCTTTTTTGGTGAGGAAGATTAGCCCTGAGCTAACATCTATGCCAATCTTCCTTTATGTTGTTTGTGGGTCACTACCACAGCATGGCTGTTGAGTGGTGGATTTCCATGCCAAGGATCCAAACCTGTGAAGCCGGCCCACCAAACTGGCACACACCAAACTTAACTATTATGCCATGGGGCCAGCCCCCTGTTTTTCTTTTTGTAATGTACATTTATATTGTTTTTTGTTCTTTCCTCCCTGAAGTCCCAGGATATAGTTGTACATCCTAGTTGTAAGTAGTTCTAGTTCTTCTATGTGAGCTGCCACCACAGCATGGCAACTGACAGGTGATGTGATTTCATGACCAGGAAGTGAACCCAGGCCGCTGAAGCAATGAGCACCAAACTTTAGGCACTAGGCCATCAGAGCTGGCTCCATATATGTTTATGTCATATGCCAGTGACAAAAAGATGTGTTCAGAAGAATAACATAGGGCTTATGGACAGTGAGTTATGGAATAGATTTACAATGTCTACTTTGGGAGAAAGGAGGCAGTTATATGTTTTATGCTTTTTCATCTGCCATTGTGAGCCTAGATTATTAAAATTAATTTACAAATTATTTCTCTGTCATAATTTCTATCCAATAACATTCACAAAACACCTATTATATGAAAGAAAATGTATACAAACTGGGAGTAGAGACATGGAGCAAGTACATATGCTGTTTACAAAGAAGTTTATGACTTAGCAAAAGGAGTAAGTCACATACATAGAGACTTTTCTCAGATAATCCTATGTATTGCCATGATTGGGATAAGGTGTTAGGGAAGCACAAAGGAAGCATACTCAGCCATTCCTTGGAGTCAAGGAAAGTTCCCTGGAAGAGTTCATTTCTGTGATGGTCTTGAAGAACAAAAAGAAGTTGAGCCCCAAGAATAAAGGGAATGGGACCTGCCAGCCAGAGGGGATGGCCTGAGCATAGGTGGGAGACAATGTGTTACAAGTTTAGGTTGATGGAAGTATGATCCATGATGATGATGACCTTGTTCGGAAGGGTTGTAGGGGCTGGACATTAAGAAACATGAGAAACACGAAATAAATCAAAGTCTTCAGTAAATATAGGAAACTGGTTAGAATATCAGTAGATGACGTTTATAAACTGTCTCATAGCTTGATGCTATTGTTGACTTTTGAAAATTAATAATTAATCACACATTCTCTTTTTCCTCTTGCAAACTAATTGTTAGGCATAGGAGTCAGACAGGTGGAGAAGAGACTATGAACTTCATTTCTGGTAGTGTTGAATTCAATAATGTGATATGACTGTATATTAGATTGGATTTCTACTATTTAAGTACAAGTCTAAATTTGGGAGGACACGGAAGAATGGGTCAGGATCCATGGAACAATCACGTTAGCTCGTTCATCTGCAGAAGGATGCCACTGAATGACAAATGTGGAGATATATATATGTAGACATATGTAGAGAAAGGGCTCCAGCTCTTCTCAAACTATCACTGAGGAAGGACGAGGTTTTTTTTAATTTTACAAAACTGTGGATTAACACTTTTGTAAAAATAAATTACTAGAAAAATAAAATTTAAAAATAACCATGGAACATGCAACTCTCATCTCTATTATTATATTCAAAGGCATAAAATATGTTACAATAAGTATAATCGAAATAAACACAGGAAAAAACTAAAAGACCGAGAATTTGTACACACTGTTTCTTGAAAGTGCACAAATGAGTGGTTAATGTACAGAACTTACGTCACATTCATGAGATTTGTCATTTTGCATAGATTAAACAAAAACCTGTGAGTGACATAGTGAAAGCCGCCAATTAAAAGCCTCTATGTACCTTTTGAAGCAGTATCGTGTGTATCAATATTTAAAATTTTTAACATGTCAAATGAGCTTGCATTTTGCTTGTTAATTTATCTGACCTAAGTTGTATTTGATGATAGTGCTATTTGTAAGTAATAATTTATGATTAAACTATTTTTTTGTATGTTTTGTTTGGTCAGATGTTGCTGTTCTAATGTTAGTGTGAGGGAAACCTTTCTCACATAGATCTATTAATAAGAATGGAATAAATGATTTTAAAGCAATTTCATCATTTCAAGGACACATTTTTGTATTTCATTCAAAATTAGCAAGCAATGCTATATTTTCATTATTTATCTTCAATACTTCATTAGTACCTAGTTCCAACGATTTGTCCTATAAGCTATATTTAAATTCAAATGATCATTCAACGAAAGAATTTGATTCTGAATCCTTGAACTTCGTATGTGTGGATTTTGTCGTGATGAAAAATAAAATTTGAAACCTTCTATTAAATTTGTAAGGTGTTCAGTGATAATTTTGTAGATGTGCAATATAAAGCTCATCACTTATTTTATTGAAAATTGTTATTTTATGAAATATATTTTGTAAAGCATTTATTATATGCCAGGTACTGTTATAAGATATATATATATATATATATATATATATACACATACATACATATATCTTATATGTATTATATAATATATACTACTCATAGACTCATTAAGAGAAAGGTACTACTACCTTTACTAATACAATTAATATTATTAGTAGTTTTATTTTAAAGATAAGAAAGTTAAGACATAGCAAGGTGAAGTAACTTGCCCAAAGTCACAAAGTTAATAAATGGAAGAGTCAAAATTCCACAAAGACCCAGAACCTAAAAACTTGACCACTACTCCTGATGGTTTTCTCCTCCACATAATAAGAATACTAATAACTTCTTCCTCTAATTCCCATTATATTGTCTTGAGGATGCATAAAGCTATGTGGAAAGAAAGAAGAGGAAAATGAACTGAGCATTTATTGAATGCTCACTGTGTAATAGATAAATAGGTTATATCATCCTCATCTTCTTTATAGATGAGTAGAAAATGGAGTTCATTCAGAGATGCTACCTCTCAAGCTCATTGAGTAATTAAGTAGTAGATTCAGGCTTTAAATCAATATCTCCTGGGCCTAATACAGTTCTTTCCTCCACTTGACACTGAAACCCAGGGTGGAAAAAAACTTCCTCAAAGAAGAATAAATGTTAGGCAGAAAAGTGATGTTAAAAAAATTATTTAAAATAAGAATTTTATGCATAAGCACACATATTTGCATTTTTATTATGATCAGCTTCTTATGCATTGGGACACTAAGGATAAAAAGCCCTTCAAAATAAACTTTTTCCTCAAGGAATGCAGTCTAGAAAGGGAATAAAGGCACAAACATGAAAAGATCTCTAATAAAACAGGAAGGAATGTTCTTAGGACCCAACAAAAGAGTGATTTAGTTGAAAAGAGGTGGAGAATCTCAAGAAATGGAACTTCCACTGTGGGCTGAGTATGGGAGTGGGTAGAGATGAGATGTGAACCAGGTTTTCAAGGATGAGTTTGTCTTGGGCTAACCTTCAGGTTGAGTTGTTCTTCTCAATCTCAGAGAACTTCAGGATAGATTACTCTCTGATATTAATAATGATTAGCAAGCAGGCTACTAAATTATGTACAGATGTTTCTATTTCTTTAACAATTCATTAAAGATTACATAAATCAGTATCTATTAGGTATGAATAGGTATTTTGACTTATTTTAATGATGAATATAATTTTTAAATACAAAATATATTTGGATATAAAAGAGTACTCTATTCTTATACAATTATCTACATTTTAAAGAAAATTCTGTCTGGAACAGACAACGGGAGCCCAGGTTTATTTGGTAAGGGTTTTTGAAATGACATGATCATATTTAAACTGATGATAAACGGAAGTGTCCACCTACATAAGCTGCTGTGTGTTAGCATCTCTGAATTTGGGTATATACACATATATGTTTATGGCCATGTGTAGGTGGTAATAAAAATAAATAACATTCCATGGGATGATGAATTTTAGGCATGACAATTCTCAAATGTTCCCCTTGTGAGAAAGATGTTGAACTGGCAAAGCTAAGTGCCAAAATAATACACAAGTTAT